CTGCCTGTTTGTGTTGTGGTTTCTTCTTACTGCGTGATATCAGTTCTTGTCACATGACTCACTGTCCTGTCTTACTCAATTCTTTCATCAGCTTCTTCTCAGCAATAGATCTTAGACAAACCTCATGCGTAATGCTGCCAGCATTTTTTAGACCTAGTAGGTGCAAGGCTTCGCTGGAACAATGAGAATGAGATTCAGTTTAATATATCTATATAGACGTAGTTCTCCTTTAAAAGCTAAATGCCGACCACAAAAACTTTCATGAGAATATATTTCTCAATAGCCACAATGGATCTAAATCCCCTTTATGTGCACCAAATGCCTTTGCAAACCCAGTTATTCCCTTGAAAATGTAGCAGTGACATCATCACTGTGCTGTACATAGCCTGTGCAGACAGCAGAGCTGTGGGAGGGACCCAGCAGGCCCCACCCACTACAGGTTGCCTACAGAAGGGGGCGAAGACAAGACCAGTCACCCTAAACAGAGAGAGAGGGCAGCAGTGAGCGGTTCTTATTACAGGAGGGGGCGGAGACAAGACCAGTCACCCTGCACAAGGAGAGAAAGCAACAGTGACTGGTCTTTATTACAGGAGGGGGCGGAGACAAGACCAGTCACCCTGCACAAGGAGAGAAAGCAGCAGTGACCGGTCTTTATTACAGAAGGGGGCGGAGATAAGACCAGTCACCCTGCACAAGGAGAGAAAGCAGCAGCGAACGGTCTTTATTACAGGAGTGGGCGGAGACAAGACCAGTCACCCTGCACAAGGAGAGAAAGCAGCAGCGAACGGTCTTTATTACAGGAGGGGGGGGAGACCAGACCAGTCACCCTGCACAGGGAGAGAAAGCAGCAGTGAGCGGTCTTTATTACAGGAGGGGGGGGAGACCAGACCAGTCACCCTGCACAAGGAGAGAAAGCAGCAGTGAGCGGTCTTTATTACACTGGATTACTGCACAGATCTGGAAGGTCACAAAGCTCACTAAGATTCAAGGAAGAATACACACGGCTCTTTTATTTAGACATTTGCTTTTCCCGGAGTTCAGCTTTAAGGCTGCTGACAGATAACCTGATCCTGGGTATAGGGTTAGGAGCACCTAATCTGTCTTCTGATCTGGATAGGTTGCTTATTGATTAAGAGCATCAAATACAGCCAATGCGTTTCAGGAGAAGCCTCTCCCTTCTTCAGGGCTAACATATTGTCCTCTATATAATGTACTTCCTTTAACTCCAGCCCCATTCCCCACCCTGATTGTCAGCTGACCCATGATAGGCATGCAGCAATTGAAGAGTCCAGTGTAGGTATAGTGTATGGCCTCATTATCACATAACTTTGTGACTTCTCTCTTGACTTCCTTCTATATTTCTGTGGTTCCAGCCTGTATACCGTGAAGCCGCCTATGCCCTGTGGATACGTGAAAGAGAGTTGGCTGTGGGAAATGAATGGGCAGACGTCATTGGCAAAGCTGTCCGAGTGCCATCGAGAAGTTTACTTCCACACTGACCCCATCCTGGAGAGCAGTGGCACCGCAGGAGTGCGGGGGGACACAGGTAAGGGGGCCCCTGGGCACGAGAGCCCTCCACTGATCAACGTACGTGCGCTACAATATGCAACACACAACCTACGGCTTTGGAAACAACGACTTAAAGTGCAACTAAAGCCAAAACTTTTTGTTTTGTTTTATATAGAGTGGAGAAGGATAAGAAGACCTGTCAGGGTTATAATGTTGTCTGTGTCCCCATTAGGGAGATTCACCCTCTCTGTTTGTCCTGGTGACCGTTATCACTGAAAGGGAAAGAAAATCCCAAATTTTGAGTTGTCATCAGAACAGGAATAGATGGGAAATCTTCCAATGGGAACACAAATTCTGGTGATACCGCTGACCACCAGGGATTTACCTCTCTTTGGAGGGAATTCCCCTCACTTCCTGTTGTGGCTATCGAACAGGAAGTGAGGGGAAGTCTCCCCAATGGAACACAGCCAAATAAAGGTGACAGGGGTTATAACCCTCCATTACTAGGTTTTGGCTTCAGTTCTACTCTAACTCTACACACATTCTTTAGCCCCCATTGACACTTTCGTGTGATTTTGAGAATTTTTGAAGTGTTTTTCAAGCATTGGTCATGTTGGTAAAATCTCTAGAGGTTAATTGCTTGGAGTGGCAGGTGATTGGTAA